TGGATTCCCCGTGTCCACATGCTTGCTGAAAGAAGAATTCTAGTAGACTGGTGAGGCATGATTTTCCTTTACAAAAACCATGTTGACTCTTCCTCAACAAATCATGTTCATCTATGTGTCTGATAATTCTGTTCTTAACTATCGTTTCAACCAATCTGCATGGTACTGAATTTAGGCTTACTGGGCTGTAATTGCTGGGATCACCGCTGGAGCCTTTTTTAAAAATTGGCATCACATTAGCTATCCTCCAGTCATCTGGTACAGATACTGATTTAAATGATAGGTAACAGACTGCAATTAGTATTTCTGCAATTTCACAATATAAATGCATTCTAAGGGACAGATTTTCTGGGGTGGTGTGGCTGTTTCTGTGCACAGCAGAATGTGGCCCTAGCCTAGCTCAGCTGTGGAGGATCACTACTGTGTAAAGGTGATTTCTGGTGTAAGGCTCTTATCCTTCCCATGGAATAGCAGGACAAGAGAGGCATGGCCAAAGGAGAGGGTTTGACCAGAATACCTTGTGCCATGCCAATCCTAGAGTATGGTTTCATCCCACTCGGGCTGTTTACAGCTGGCATAAATTAGAGCAGCCCTCACGATGCTCTAATTTGATGCAGGTGGATTACTCCTGCACAGAGATGACAGTAGGGTCAGAGGAGTGCAAGGACCAGCGTTATGCACGTCTGCACATACACCCTCCCTCCCCCATGATTGGCAGTCTATGAAAAACAGTTGTATCTCAGGATCTGGTCTTTAATCTTTCCAACAGAAATTATAAAATGATGAAAATCCCAGTCATTAGTTCAGAAACCACAGAATCCTCTAAAATGGATTTTAATCCCACATCTAAGAATTACATTTCATATCTCATTTCCAGTTGGGTAAAATCTATATCCAGGTAAATCAGGGCCATGAATTCAAATTCGTTTAAATGTATTCCTAAGATTTGCTTTAAAACAATTAAGTACCAGATAGCCCCTGCTCCTTTAAAAAAAAAAAAAAGAAGTAAAAGAATCAAGGAGACTATTGTACTGAACTTTTTCAAAACAAAAGTTTTGTGAAACAACTGTTGGCCACTACAAAGCTCTAATCAGTTATATGTGTATCTCATTTAGGTAACAAGTAGTTATTAATATACACAATGTGTTGTGGTTAAACATGTTTATAAGACCATGCCTATTTATTTAATTGTCTCTGTATTTAAATTTGTATTTACATTATTCATATTTTCCCTTCTGTCCTATCCATAAATCACTTCTCCCTTATCTATTCTCTCCTGAAGTCTACAATTTAGTTTCAAATGTATATTAAAATGCATAGAGTATTTTAACAAAAAACCCACCAAGAACAAAAATAGCTTTTCATAAAGTCTGCTTCACTCAGCATGTCAGGGCCAATCAAATTGAAACAACTGTCTACTTTGTGTTGTCATTTACCACTGACAAAAAAAAAAAAAAAAAGGGAAAGAAAGAAAACTAAAAAAAAAAAATACTTAGAATGGTTCTTAGCCAGGAGCATTTTATACTTTATTCATCAGTGGTAAATGAGTCAGATATGAGTTGGCCAGAAAAAGAGCTGCTTTACCCAAAATCTGAGTTTAAAATGAGTCATCTCACTCCAAACACCAATATATCCTCCAACATAACTGGCAAGAGTTTCCTACAAAGAGACTCTCCTGCTATTGCTCTCTTCATCTGGGGGCCTGATTCTACACAGCTGAAGGCAATGGGATCTTTACCATATATTCAGTGAAGCAGCATTGAGTCCTTGGGATGCCCCTCCTAGAAGCACAGCAGCTGTAGGCCAGATATGTGTGCATGCGGGGAGGGGATTTAAGCTACCTTTGTGAGCTCTCCAGTTGCTCTGAGGTGTGGAAAGGCTCTTAGCATAACTTCTACAGTTTTGGGGGCCTGTCTAGGTTACAGCACCCTCCCTAGACTGCCATGTGGACTGCAGCACTGTGTGCTTTGGCCCTATGTTCAGCATGACCTGGCACACCTCATATACCAGGGCTTGCCAGGGGATCCTCTGATGGCAGCCTTACAGCTCTCTTCTTCAGTGCCAGTTCCAGGGCAATGCTCACTCAGCTGAAACCAGAGCTTAGAGGGGCCCTTTATATCTGGCATAAAGGACTGGAGCAGGGGTAAGGCTCTCCTCCTTGGTCTGTAATTGTTATGTGTTACTGTCCTGTATGGGTCTGTCTCACTGCAGTGTTACTTCAGTTTTATGCTGCTGTACTTCACAGAACTTAAGGGAGTTAAGATAGTGTAAAATTGGAGTAGTACAGTGGTAAATCAGGCCCTGTGTTTCTAATGCTGCTTTAGAGCTCCTCCATGCCTGTGCTAAGCACACACAATTCCTCTCAGGAGGCTCCCAGCATCTCAAAGGAAGCAGGCCCTAGAAAGCTGATTTTTAGAAGTAACTATTTTTGTTTGTCTCTGTTCACAGGAAGTGAGGGGTGGGGAATAGGAAACATGGTGGCCAAAACTACTGGAGAGCTTGGCTATCAGTTTGGTCCAAAGTTGCCCCCGTCATTCATTTATGGAAAGGCTGGTTTTGAGTGACCACTGGGCAGGTTATGAATGTGGTAATGGAATCAGCAATGTAGGCATGCAAAGGTTTTATTGTGCTGCTGAAAAACCTCTACAGCACCCCAAAAGATATTTCAAGTGGAACCATTTTTCCACAGAAGAATTCATGACAGATTCATTCCTATAACCATCCAGAACTGATGAAGTGTAGTGAACCTGGCAGCCAAATGAATTCCATTTGTATACATATCAGTACATCCATTTTTCTCACACTTCCTTCAGCTGCACTCTCAATTCATTCCATGTCAGGAATGGGTGGAAATTGCCACAGGTTATCAGTAGTCAGGTGATATATTTACATAGCATTAAGAATATACATTGTTAGCAGAAGTACTGCTTTACTGAATGACTACAGAATCAATTACTGTGAAGTGGCTATAGTTTTAGATTAATATAGGTTTATAACATGACTTTTAATTACTGATTATTCTAACCTATGTAATTTTATATGCAAAATTAATTACATTTTATTTAAGAGAGCCTAAAACAGCTTTATTTCATCATATTAATTAGTTACCAAACCCTAAATTATAGTCCCTTTACATTAGCCCCTTACTCACATGTGGAAAAGGTTTTCACATCCTTGGCTAACAAATGAAAGCATTAACTGCCACACACTTAGATTACAAACATTTGGGTTCATTCCTTAGCTGAGGGTTAATTGACAATGTTGTGGATCAAAAATAAGATCGCTCGTATAGACCAACTGTCTGTCACTGAGAGAAAAAACGGTTCCTTCCTATGCATTTATGTATTTGTAATAATAATAATCTATTATTAAAGTGCAGTTATAGTGAATACTCTACTCACTAGATCTGTCTTTGAGTCACAGCTGCTTACTTTACTTAAAACCCCAAGTTTTTACTCTTGTGAGAGCCAATACAACTACTGAAGATTCTAGAATATCCTACTGAGTTCTATAGTTATCCCCCTTGTGCATCATCAGTAAAATTGTCAGCTGAATTCAGATTAAAACAGCCAATGCAGGTTTTGAGGACTAGAACCCTACCACTGAGCCCACAGGCAGCAGCTGCCAGTACATTCACATAATTCATGGATCCACTGGCTACACTCCCACTGCTCCTTTGGCCCACCCACAACTCCCTCCTCCCTTCGATGTTCCTGTGGAGAGAGCTGTCATGGAGCACAGCTTCACAGTGCACAGGGAGTTGAGGAGTCCCCTTGTACGGCCTCTCTATCTCCTGCCCCTTTTTCTCTTGTCCAGTGGAATCAGAAGGTTCCACTGCATTTTTGGGTCTTTCTCCACTACAGAGAGGCCAGGTGGGATTGGCGCTGAAGGCGAATAAATAGGAAACTCCATAATGCAATTTTTATAGAGTGACTTTTCTGACTCCAACAGTTCCTTAAAGAAACATTGTACTGCACATGGCACTATTCAATAGGCATCAGTGCTTCATTTTGAAATATTGTATTGACAAAAGTGCATTGGCAGTTGTTCCATTTTATAGAATTGTTAAATTCACATCCAAGTCCAAGCCTTACTGGATTAGTGTGAAATGTCAGCTGACGGGCAGGGAAAACCAACACTCTTTATTTGATGACCTATCTTCATCGTGGTACATTAAATACACTGAGCCGGATTCTCCACGGTCTTACTCCAGTTTTACATCATGTCACACACTGAAATCAGTGGAATTACATTAGTGTAAAACTGAAGTAACACAGTGCTGATTTCAGTCTATCATTACTAAGGCCTGGTCTACACTGGGGGGAGATCAATCTAAGATACATCGACTTCAGCTATGCTATTCTCGTAGCTGAAGTTGCGTATCTTAGATTGAATTAAAATTATTTACTTCGCATCCTTGCGGCACTGGATTGATGGCCGCGGCTCCCCCGTCGACTTTGCTTCTGCCTCTCGCACTGCTGGAGTTCAGCAGTCGACGGGAGAGCGATCGGGGATCGATTTATCCTGTCTACACTACACGTGATAAATCAATCCCCGATAGATAGCTACCCGCCAATCCAGCGGGTAGTGTAGACATACCCTTAGTCTGTCTGAAAGCAGTTTAAATTGATTTTTATAAAGTCAAATCTAAAATAGGTCTGAATGTCCTCTCAGGAGAAGACCATGATCAACTATGCTTTGGCAATTCGTGATTTTTTTCACATCAGTATTTTGCTTTCCAATTTAGTTTTTGAAGGGGAAAAGAGTGCATTTAGTAATTGTGAATCTTAATAAATATTTATACACACTGTGATCACTAATATAGGGTGACTCTGATTTTTGGATGCCCAACTCAATATACTTTCCTAAGGGTCTCAAGCTGCGGTGTCAAAACCCAAAGCACCCAAAATTATCAGATACTTTTCAAAATCTGGGTTCTGGTTCTTACAACACCAGGGTACAAAATCTTGCCATCTGGGTTTCCAACAATGTACACTTACCTGCTGTCTTCCTGAGAAAAAGACTGTTCAACATCCACTGTCAGTGAGGCCATAGCAGAGACAGTCTCCGTCTCCTCTCTCTCTTGTTTCTGAGTCTCAGCCAGAGCACAACCCACTAGCACAGGATACGGCTTCACTGACTTCCAGTACTTGCCTAAAAAAAAAAATCACACATAATAATTTATGGGAATTTTAGCTAGCATGGTGGTATAAGCACAGTAATCACTTCGGTCCAACACAGAGTGATTATCAGTTAAAATCCCTGTACTGTAAGCAATTGTAATTGGGATTTCAAACTGCCACGATGAAGAATGTTTCTGGATCTAAGAATGCCAAATTGGAAAGCGCTCTCATTCCAAGGACTGTGTCACACCCTTCCCCAGAAGGTAATAAACTAAAGGAGTAACACACAGCCTAACGAACTCATATTATCAGTCAGACTGTTGGCTATATCTATGGTAGGAGAAGGAAGTTCAGAACAGATAGGTACGATATTGCCTGGCAATAGGTGTATTTGCGACAAATGGGAATAGAAAAATGAAAATAATTGTACAAAGCGCTCACATTGCACTGACTTTTGGGGGAGGGGGGGAGTCATGAATGCCAGCATGGCCTGCAGTTATGTTGCCAGAACAATCAGGTTTGTTAGTCCTGGATGTTCTTTCTCCTCCAACCTCAGGGTGTGTACTAGAACAATAATTTATTTAAAACATTCATATACGCACTGGCTTTTGTTGGAATGCTACTAGGTATTATAAGAAAGACATTTTTCTGGTTTTGGGGGTAAAAACACACCAGTGGAATAAAAGTGTGAGAGAGATGTCAGCCTTCTGCCTGCAACAGAAAAGACTTTGAAAAGCTTCCCAAGTGAAGCAAAAAATAATGTGCAGGTGAGTAGGAATGAAAAATAATCACTCAGTAATATGTTATTCAAGAACAGGGGTCAATTAGTGGTAACCAGGTGAACAACTTAAAACTTACATACATATTCCTCATAGTATAATAATCCATAGAATTCTTACTAAATTCCAGGTGGATGCCACCTGGAAAGTAGGAGCTGGAAGGGAGTTTGGGACCAGCACTTATCCAGTGGTTAGCAAGAGGCTTCCAGCAGCTGGGCCAGCGGCGGGGTCAGAGCACTTATTTGGGAATTAGTGGATGGGTTTCAACAGCTGTGACAGAGGGGGGCTCAAGTAGGGGATCTTTCACAAGGACTAGGAGGAAGATTTTGGCAGCTGGGAGGTGGGTTGGGTCAAGGTGCTTAGCCATGGGATAGCTGGAGAGTTTCAACAGCTGGCAGGCAGGGCCAATTGTAGTGCTGTGTATTCTGGACTGAGAGTGTTAAAAATTCCTTCTTTGATAACATGGCATATAACACCATTTCAGGCTTTTCAAAAGATGAGCGTTTGAGTCAAATGAGACAGCAGCTGTCAATAAAGATAGCAATAACCTTATTTAAAATATACTCAAAGGATGAATGCATAAGTCAATCTCCATGATCGACAGACACCATGGCAGACGGGTGTTCCTTTGACCCCTAGTACTGTGCATGTTTGAATAGTTAGCAGGATCTTTAAATAATAGGAATTGGTGGAGGGGGGGATAAAATCTGAAGTGTATTAAGTATCCTACAAAGTTAAGATTAAGTGTTAGAAGCTGGATTTTCCTCCAGATACAGGAGAGCCATGGCTAAAAAACTGTGTACATAACACTAAACCAAATGGCTGAGGCCTGGCAAATTCTATAAAAACAAGACAAAAATATTCAGTAGAGACCATATTCTCTAGTCATTAAAATAAAAAAATTAAAAAGTTAGTTAGGCATTCCACAATGTTCTCACAGCGGTTATATGTAAAATCAGACTGTGCAATATCCCTGTCATAATTTATGGGCTAAATGTTCACAAGTGGGTGGGGTTTTTGCTGTAGAAACAGATGTGCAAGAAAATAAAATCTGTTGGCATGGGAATAATACACAGTTTTGCCCATAAAAGAAATGAACCCATGTTCACTGCTTGAGTTTTCAAGGTCTCCTATTCATAAAATAAAATATTAGTAACCAGCCACTACTGTGCTGCTCTCCTGCAGCAACAATAAAACAGCATCAGAGAGGACTGCTTACTCTCTCTCTCACTCACACACATGCGCGCGCACTGCCCCCTGACTTTCTTCTAACACTGAAACTAACGACCACATTCAAGCATATCAGTTGGTGCTGTGTATCCATTTTACCTTCCACCCCATATGATCATTCATTACCCCTCCCCTTCCCTTTCCCTACACTCAATTAAAATTGTGAAAGGTGGTTTAGAGGTGGAGGAGAATTGCAGAGTAGGAACAGGAAGCAGGTGGCAGTATCTAGGTAGCGGTCATAGTATCCAGGTATCACTATCTGGGGGATGGAATGAGGAGTGTTTGGGGAGGCAATTTTGAGTCCCCATTAGGACAGCATCCAGTTAGCAGAGGGTACACTAAAGAGGCTCATGGACTAAATGCTCCCTGATACTTACAAGAAAATGTGAGAGAAATTTCTTAAAAACAAAAAGCTGTATCCTATGCCAAGATGATTCTCTTTGGAAAATGAGGATTGTAGGATTGTTTTTATAACAATGGCATGATCAATGCTGTGCACAAAAGGCATGTGCAATTTATCACCTATTTTTCATGCACAACTACAACTGAATGTACAAATTGGGCCTTTGTGTATTTTCAACTACTGATGTGCATGAACAGTCTCATCAATTGTATATGCATAGTGCAGGCAATTGCACAACTACTTTTGCTAGCAGCCCAAACTATCCTATGTATAAAAATCCAGCTCTGTTTGAAACAAAAGCACCAGGGACAAACAGCTCACAACTGACAAAACTGACATTTTCACTTTCCAAGGCAGGAATGTGAAATTCCACTAATCTTGTTATATTTTCTAAGAAGAACATTTTGGAGTTTATGAAATGGGTTGCCAGTCCCATACATGCACCGCTTGTGGCATCGATTACTTCTAAGAATAAACTATGAAACCAAATAAGTAATCTAGATATGCTTTTGTTTGATGCATAAAAAAGTGCTCAAGTCTCCAATAAGGCAATGGGAACATTTCCCATTCACAAAGGAAATAGTAACAGTGAATGTTTATATCATGTATTTTTGTTACAGACATTTCAAAGTACCCTTCCTTGAAGTATGTTGGAATGTATGTGGCTTAGGCTGACATTTTCCATGTATAAAGAGCTCGGTTGAGGGGTGGTGCCTAAGCGAGTGAGAGCAACTTATTTAGAAATACATATTGTATGGTTGTGGTGAATACTTCTTCCAATTGTATCATATCCCCATAAATACATGATACCATTGTCACAAACAAAGAAGTTTATACAAATTCCATTCTACTTAGAAACAATTTGGGTTTTCTCTTTGTCTGATCGAAAATCTGCAATTTCCAGCCTGTTTTTGAAACAGAGATGGAGCAAAGGCAATCCTTGGACTAAAACACTGATCAGAGGTTGTAACATTTAAATACTTGACATCAGAGCTGTATCACAGAAACATAAGTGTTAAGTAATGCACGTGCCAAAGCAGGATTTGTCAGTATTTTGTCCTTTCTAGTTTTAAATGTTATACGTGATGGACTTCCCCAGGTTATAATTCTACAGCTTAACACATTTCACCCCCAAAAGTTGTCCCTGATATTCAGCCTATATTTTCTTTCTTTTAATTTCATCCAATTGTTCCTACTGAACTAACTCCCCCATGTAACATTCATACTAGTTCCTCTCCATCACTAGTGTTTACTCCTTTCAAATATTAGTAGACTGTTATATCCTCTCGGTCATCTCTTAGCCAAATTATGCAGATTTGGCTCTTTTAAGTCAATTCCTCCAATCACCTCCATCATTAATATGGCTCTTCTCTGAATTCCCTTCATTTTGTCAAGATTTTTCTGGTTATATGTTGTATAGAACTAAATGCAAGATTTGGGTCACATCAGAGATCTGTAGAAAAAGACTACTGCCTTTGTGCTCTGTGATGAATATGGCACCTAAGTTGTTTTGATATTTTTGCTGCTATATTACCTTGTACATGCGTGTCTCATTTTTGTCCACTATTATCTCTAGGTCTATTTCAGCATAACTGCATTCCAGATTTCTCTTTCCATTCAACCGTTTTGTTTTTCTCAAATATTTTTTCTCTCAAATTGAATTGTGTTTTGTTATATTTTGTCCTGGTTTCTAATCTCGCTAGCTCCCTATGTATTATTTCTCTGCCCTCATTAGCATTTGCAGCTTACCCAATTTTGTATGGTATGTCATTTTCATTAACAAGCTGCGTACTGTCTCCTCCAGATCATTAGTAGAAGATATTAAAGAAGACTGAACCTAGCACCAGCTCCTGCAGTACTCCACTACACATATCTCCTCAAAACTGACACTGACATTTATCATGAATTCCTGAAGAAAGCTGATTTAATTGTGACATTTATTTACCTGAGTGCATAAGTGGGAGCAGGGATAACTTACCAGTTATGTAGCTACACATGAGTTTTCCAATATCTCTTCACATGAGAAGAAATATATGAAGAACTGACCAATAATTCTGTGTTATGCACATTTTTAAATATGATGAATCTGCTTTTTTTTATTCACCCAATACTAGCAGAACATGTGGTATTCAAACCAAATCTAAATATAAATGGCACCAGAGGGTGATGAGAAAGAACTGGCAAATGATAGGTAGGAAACAGGAAGTTCCCTCTCCCCCACTTAGTATGGTTGGAAGTAGCACATGGTGGCAAGTGGAGGAAGGTCTCTATAGCTGAGCTGAGGCAACTGGGAGCAGGGCAAAGTAGGAAGGTGCAGGTGGAAAACTCAGCAGCGAAAAGTGGGTGGTAGCTGTGGGCCACAGAGAGCGTATGTGGGGAAGGTTCAGGACTGGTGTTGGGATGCATAAGTGACATGCATAGGGAAGGGGTGGTGGGAGGGAAGCACTGAATATTTTCCATCACTGTCCCATGTGGCAGCAGCCATTTCAAGTATCCAGATGTAGTTTTAAACTCACGTCCATCTCAACATGAATACATTGAAAAGGTATTTGTCTACAAATTGAATCCAAAGAGACTATGTCATATCCCTAATATACCCACCATATATCTACACCCACCCACACGTATTTCTCTCACTGGATCGCAAGACTAAAATGCTTGAAATGAGAGTTGTGCAAATGAAAGATTTTGGACTATATGGGAGTAGGAAAGCTTTGATTAACGTTAAGAACTCAGCTTTTTAAGTGTTAAATCATCAGTGAAACAAAAGAAGTGCCAAAGAAACAAGAGCACAAGCATACATGTTATAAACATGTATTGTGTATATGCGCAGATATCATATTTTTTGTTTATTCTTTACTCTGTAACAAAAGTTTAATCAGTTGTCTCTGACATTAATTAATAACAAGAGAAAAAACACTGAAACATACTTTGAATTTCAGTGGCCTTTTGTAAAGAAGCCATTGCATTCATATTAGGGGTTTGGTGCAGCATATCTTCTGGGAGAGGCTCCAGCTGCAAGAATAGAACAGAATAATATGAGCAGAATATTATGAATTTGCAACAAGACACATGGAAATAAACCAAACTGAAACAGCCTAATCCTCAAGAGAGGCTCAGCCCAAGAACTAGTTAACATTTTGCTGGTATTTCTAAAAGTATAGCCACAATTTTGTTTTCTGTTTTTCAGCCATGTAATTGAATTCCAAGGGGCTTTTCTATTGGCTGCAAGACTAATCTATGGAGTCTCTGAAGCAGGTGCATGTCTGTGTATTATTCATTAAAAAAAATGTTAGTTATTTGTGTAATTTTTATAGGTTCCTCACAAACCAAATTCCATTGCGTCTGTATGTGCAGCTGGGCACTCCAAACAAAACCTGGTTGAAGCCGCATTGGGACTAAAGTGTGCACTCTATTATCTATATTTTTCTAGTGTTATTACATCTAACCATCTAACCATTTCAACATTTTACAGTGGAAAATTATAAAACACAGCTGCTCTTAGTAGCCTTGTGTTAATTTCAAATAAAGTAGTAGACAAAATGCTTAAGCATATCAACAATAAAAGTCTCATAAATTTATTTGGACTCCACTGTACTTTTACTGGCTACATTTACTTTCAATACCCTTTAGTTTGTTTATGTGTTTGAGTGTGCACATGCATGAAACAAAATGCCAACACTTATGTTTTTTTCCCTGTAATTCCATTTTCAATGGCTCTAACTATTCTAAAAGGAGAGCTAGTGTGGTGGTTAGGGGCCTAATCTAGGCCTTTATAAACCTGGGTTCAAGTCCCCCATAAACCACAGATTTTCTGTATGACCTTAAGCAAGTCACTTAGTGTCTTGCTGCCTTGGTTCCCCATCTGTAAAATGGGAATAATAGTACTGCTCTATTTCATACTGATGTTGTGAGTTGCTCAGATAATACAGAAATGGGGGTGGAGGGCTAATAAGTACCTTAGATAGAGAACTTAATATGTCAGACATGAATGGATCCTAAATTAAACACTGGGACTTGTGAAATATCAACATGTCATGATATTGAGCACTGACATGATGACATTGTATCATGATGCATGATGATATATCGTCACAAGAGCCAAGCAAAAAAGACAAATCATGTTCCATCTACATTCATTTCAATTTTTAAATGAATTCAGCTGTGCTCATGCCCCTTTCTGTACACCTTCCATTCTACCCACATTAGGGCAATTAAGTTTTACTGGCACAAATGCTCACAGCCATCTGTGTGAGTTCTCATGGAAACAGCAGCTGAAATTTGTACACATAGATATTGACGCCAGAAGTATTTGCACACTCAGCCAATCAAAGGGCTGGAATAACATCATGTGAGTCATCTGCCCAATCATGACTCAGAAACTAGCTCTTCTTTTGAATATTTGTAAACAAATTCAAAAATATATTTTTTGAATACATTTGTATGATGAATACACTGGAGAGAATTTCAAACTTATATGGATATTTTGTGGGCAGAAAAAGAGACAAAACTGGCTCACTTATTCATTGTCAATGATTAGATGAGCTCTAGTCATTACATTAAGGAGATTAGCCTGGATTATAAAGAGGTGACAAACTAAGCAAATTTACCCAAAGTCCCAGAATTGCGGGGATTCAGGTAAAATGATCAGCAGAGAAATATTTTAATGCTGATGAAATTCTAATTATCATCAGGCTTTTGGGTTAATTCTCATGAGATGCCTATAGTCCTGCATTGGGAATCTACCTGGAAGATTTTCTTTGAAACCATAAGAATTAGCAACATAATTTATATTAAAGTAATATAAATGTTTAAATTCTTTGGAATTCAAGGAGACTGCCAGAAAAAGGCTGATACAAATATCAGCCTTTACTAATGCCATAAAACCACTGAGGATGCCAGATTGTAATGGTGGATTGCTGCTATTTTAAATGATGCATTAAGACATGCCAGTCTAGCTTTAGGATTAGAGCTAGTTGAATAATAAAAATCAAAGTAACTGATATATTTGCAATTAACAAGTCAACTTTGCTTCACTGGTCTTCATAGGTCATAGCATTCAGTTATTTGCAAGCACTTGGATGAAAGCTGAGTATTTGTGAAAATGTTCACAAATCACTAATTTCACAAATTTTAGCGCAAGTGATTATTCGTCTGAAAATTCATACCGGAAGTCAGGTATTTGTTAATAACTGTTATTCATCTTTGTCATTCATTATTCTCTATTTAAAATGTTTCAGGCATCCAACCAGGAAGCAAAAAAAATACTTTGGGCCCAATGCTCAGGTCCAGCTGGGCTGAGCTCAGCACAGATCCACAGGCAGGAGAACAAAGGTGGCTTAAAGCCACATTTTTACACTCTTCCAATCCTTATGGCTACTGGGACCCAATTTAGCTCCTGGAGTAAGTTAGAATAGATTCAAGGCTACTCTAACCTGCACCTCTGGGAGCTATTGCACAGGCTGTGGAATTGCCATAGTGCAAGGTGCTCCAGCAGTGCTTTGTTCTGTCCTCGACGTATCCTTCCTGTTCCCCTGCAAACTCCTTCTACTGGGCAGGAGTTGGTGATGTAGACATAGCTATTGTGGCTCTATGCCAACCAGTGCTTCTCCTAATCAAAGGGAATCTCGTCAGGCAACTTTCATAAATTGGTTGGACTGGGGTCCAGTGATAGGTGTGTGATTTAGGCGGCCAATCATACACCTTAATTAACCAGTAATGAACAATTAAAGTGAAGAGTTCACAAATAACTCATAGGTTAACTCATCTAAAATGTCTGATCAATACTTATGAATACCAAATACACGCACAGAAATCAGGTTAGGTTCATGAATCAACCACAAACAGAAAAAAAGGGCCAAATTTGCAATCATTATTATTCAAGATGAACATTTTGGTCAGCTCTTGTAACAGACCTGTAGCTGACATGGATTTTCAGTGTTTGTTATCTAAACTTCCCCCCTCCCCACCCAAAAAAATGAACAAACCCCTCCCTGTAACTATTCCAGCTTGGTTACAACTACAGAAATGTTCTCTGTCTCCATATTCTTTGCAGTAGCCAGGCAGAATGCTAGATCCTGTTCCATATCAATAAAACCACATCAGACTCCAGACGTAAGTTCATTACATTATACACCCTGTTCAATCCTGATGCACTATTGTTACAAAAACACTGTAAAAATAAAGCCAGCGGATTATTACAGCTATTTCTATACTCCTTTGGAACAGGGCCTTCAGCATCAGGGAGAATAATTTCTGTTGGCAGTGATCCACTTTTTGGATCTACATAGACATAGGGGTGTCCCTGGAAAATATCAGGACACAGACCCAACAGTGAACAAAAGAAATCACTCTACACCTGACAGTCATAGCACCATCACCTTCACTCCTACACTTCTTGGCATTCAAATCATGCAGTTTATTAGATCTGGAGCCGAAGAGAATAGAAGTTGTAAAGAGCACTAGAAATACATTTGCAGAACAGAATCTTTCAGAGAGGAATGACTCAGGTCAGTGCAGGACCAACAAAGCCACTTAAGGGAGAATTTGGATAATTTACAGAAGGCAAAATTTTCGAAGGATTTGCACCACTAAATTGGGCTTTTGTGTGCCCAAGGGAATGTAATGGAATTTGTGTCCATTAAGCATTTTCAAAGGAAAAAAGCAACTGTGCACCACATACGTTGGATAGTCAAAAGTTGCTACAACTGAATTGTGCTCCTATCAGCAAGTGGCATAAAAATACACCACCTATTAAATTTTCACATACTTGGAAGGTGGCATAAGTGATGGTAAGGGTGATAGCAGTTTGCCAAAATTTGAGACAATTGCCATCTGCACTGTATGAGCAGCCCAGACTTGGCACCTGACTACACTGCCTCCTTAGCCCTGCCATGTTTTAAGGAGCAGAAGCTAGCTTTATTCATGGGTGTTGGTGAATTTGTTTAGAGAAAAAAATGACACAGAGGAACATTTTAGGCAACCTCAGGCGTAAAGCAAGGGTTCTGGAGAAGGAGATGGTGATGGTAATAGATATAGGGGCCACAGATCCCACGGATGCCTGAGAGTCCACCATACACTTCAAAGTGGGTCTACAGGCCATGGGGACTTTATAGATTTACTGGAGATGGGATTTCTCTTGTACAAGTTTGACTTGATAACCATTCTACAGCTGTGTGAAAAGGAGCCAGAAGGGTATGTGGAGAATCACACACATAGGAGCCATGACTGAGGTGGTCAGTCACCATTGTTCTGGGTAAGTCATAATAGCAGACTGTTTGCTGCATCCAACTCCATTTAACAGTTTCTGTGAGCAACTCCCAGGAGTTTTAGTAATTATATTGGCTTCCCTAGGGGCAAACATGACCAACAGTAGGTTCATGAGAGAGATCTTTGACACTGCACATCTCCTATTCCATCCTGTGCAGATTTTGACTTCTGACAATATTCCAGTGATCATAATTTTGCATAATATGCTAGGAACATAATGCCCAAGGACAGTCAATGGGAGTTAGGCATGTGACTCCCATTTGTGCGTTGGAAAATTTCCCACTAGTAATGTATCACTTTTGAACCAGTTCATCTTCAGTCTGCTTGGCCAAGCCACCTCCTGGCTAGCACTGGCCACTTCCGGGATTATAATGTCACCCTATTGGCACATACTTTGCACTATTGTAGATTCCTCCCACTGCCAACTTTCCATTTTTGGGCCCCTTCTCCCAGGTTTATGCCAGCCAGAGTTGACATAAACCTCAGGTGAACCAATAATTGTAACTGGTATTAATTTTTTGGTAATAATGACAGATTCAGATTAACAATGAAGCTATGAGATGTAACCAGGTTTAACTTTCAATTTAAAATTGATCTCTGGCAATTTTCATTTATGTGTATGCTATTTGGGAAATATTTCCATTTTAGAGAGAGAAGCATTTACCTATTCTGGCAAATCACACCCCCCCACTCCTTTCTTTTTTAATGCAGTGTCTGCGTTCTTAGCAGAGCTCTTTGCATAGCTG